AGATGTCCTGACAGCAGAAGTGGTAGGCATCCACAACACTCTTTCTATCTTCCAACAGACTCTACTGAGTCAAGGACATGCCATTCACACTATCTCAGAGCATCTTGAAGCTCTGAAGGAATCTGATGCCAGGACAGAGAGGCACTTGACTTCTATCGAAGCAATGTGCAGAATTCATCAAGAACAGGCTCAAGCCCTCCTATCTACTGACAGAGACCGTTATCAGAAGATGGTGCTTCTTGAAGCCAATAACAAGGACATCTTCTCTGCCATACAGAAGCAGCAAGGTCTCATTGAAGGCCTTACCTCTGTCACCCAGACTCTACCAGAGGCCCTGGAGCAGATAGCCTCCACTCAGGCCTCAGAATTTCAGAAAATCAGCCTGATGATAGAAGACCTGAATGATGCCAAAAAGGGGGAAGAGGACCCTCAACAGACCAGGCCTAGGTCCCACATGTCATGGTTAGCCTACTAGTTACTTGTTAAAATATTTTATTGGAATTCATTGACCTGTTAAAATATTTTATTGGAATCAATTTAACCTCGGATAAGAGGAGTCAATATTTTATAGGAATTCATTCGCAAGATATTTATCTTCATATGTCTTTTAATTTATTGCTAACTTTTTTAAAAGATGTTTCCGATGTCGATTGCAGAATCTCAACTTTTTGTTTATGGACCGGAATTACTTTGTTGCAGGTAGGACATTCAATTTCTGAAGCAGGTGACAAGGGAATTGGGTGGAGAATATACTAAAGCTATGAAGTCATTGTTTCATTTGTGTGGTGAGTTTTCTTCTTGTGAAGTTTTAAAGCTTATCATGGCACTTGTGATTTTTTTTATAAAATATCAACTATATGTGTGGAGCAGAGGATAGCTTAGCACCTAATTTTTAGGCATAAACTGTGTTGTTCTGAAATAAATGTGTGGCTCTTCTGAAATGGTGGTTATCCTCTGTGTTGTTAAACTTATTTTAATTTAATGTGTAACACAATTCTGGAGCAGAGGATACTATCTGATCTTCTGAAATAAAATATAAATCTCCTAGTTCTGGAGCACAAGATAGCTTAGCAGTAGGTGATTGTTTGAGTTTATTTTAATGTGTCGTAATGATTTACTATGGAATGTGCACTTTATATATTTTGGTTATGTTTTATTTTCTGGAAAAAAAGTCATCATATCTAGTGACTTGTGTCATTAATTTAGCTCCGACTCCTTTGCATGTAAAATCAAAGGTAATTGATGAGGTCTGTTAGATAGGTAGTTTTTTATTATAAAATTGTAATTATTTAATCATTGATTCTGCTAAATTTTGAGGTGGTAATCTTGTCTTACTATGTTTATATAGAGGGCAGTATCTGCCTATGCTTGAATAATACTTCGCATTACTCTTCTCTTTTTCATGTAAAAATTATATTGCAACTAGCTTGCAGGTGTAAAGGTACTTCAAACTATGTTTATAGTGACTATAAATCTATTTGTTGTCATATTGTTGTAGATATACTTTGTTGTTGTAAGGAATAATTGTAATTAGATTTTGATGATGCTAGTTTAATTAGGACTTTAGAGTACCCCTATTTAGAGTTAATGTATTAGAATTTTCCTTTGTAAAGTTTTTAGAGTAATCGACTTGACAGAAGACCTTCAAGAGCAGAAGGGCTTCAAGAGCAGAAGGACTTCAAGAGCAGAAGACCCTCATAAGGCATTAGTGAAACAGAGGACCTTTGGTTCTCTGCTTCAGAACAGAAGACCTCAGGGTCTCTGTTAGCCTTTACTCTGACAGAAACCCTTCAGGGTCTCTGTTGGATATTCTCCCAACAGAAGTGCTCCAGACCTCCTCTGTTCTACTCTCAGTTAAAGACAACAGAAGGTCTGACACTTAGAAGAATTTCACAGAACCGGGAAGTCAACTAAAAGATTCCTTTAACGGCTAGGAGTATGAAACGGAAAAGCTACAGTGCATGCATTAAATGCTCATTTAATGCACCCCATGCTACGTAGAGTAATTGCAGATGATTGGCTGCAATGTCAGGAATACTTTATCCCAAAATAGTAACCCGCCAACTTTACCGGGCTCTACTAGTCAAGTCAACTGATCGCTCATTTAATGCAGTTGTCCTCCTACTCCTCCAACGGGAAGACAACCTCAGTATAAAAGATACACTACGAAGAACAACCGGATAATTATGCCAAGATAACTTTTGCAACTTTTGCTAACCATTGCTACAAACAAGATATTCAAACTCTGAAAAAGCAAAAAGCCTCCTTGAGATTCAAACTCATTATCTTCTACAAGAGAAGGCAGAAGTTGGAAAAATACTCTTTCCAACTCAAGCAAAGTTCCAAGTGTTCTTCAACTCTTCAAGCTCATCACATACAAATCTTTTGTAACGAAGCTAGTTGGAGGAACCCCAGTTTCAACAGAAACTCTTCTTGCTACAAGAAGGACGTCCAAGTAACTGGAGTAGTGAAGTGGTGATACTTCAAGGAAACTCAGTAAAAGGACCAGTCTTAAAGGAAGCCAGGCAGTGCATCCCAGGAGACATCTAGACTTGAAGAAGACGTGGAGTGCTTCTTAAGTGCTAGGACTAAGGCTTTGTAAACGGAAGTTTTTACAGCTTAGTGGAACAGTGGACTAGAGGAACAAGTTGTTCCTTGAACCACTATAAAAATCCCTGGTGTCGTTTACTTACTACTTTAATATTTGCACCTAGATAGAACTGTCTAACTACTTGGACTTGGTATCTGTGTTCAGCAGAACTTGTTCTACGAGTTAACAGAAGGCCTACTCCCTTTGCTTCTCTGAGGCTAACAGAACTCCCTACCAGAACCCCATCCGCTGCTAGTCTGTTCTTTCAACAGAACAGGCTATTCTGTAAATCTGGTACTTAGTTTAAAAAGCTAAAAACCAATACAGTCCATTCACCCCCCCCCCTCTAGACTGTATCCAGTATAACCGGGACCAACAGTTGTATATGTAAGAACTCGTTTCCAGCTCAGGTCTCAGCTTTATATCCACAAAGGATATAAAGCTGAGACCTGAGCTGGAAACGAGTTCTTACAGTATAAGCTAAAGTTTTTGCCTACTTTATTGTCATATTTGGGTCATAGTGGTTGTGATCTCATTGCAGGCACAAAAAAGACAAAGAAATACAAAAAATAAAAAGAATGACATTGAGATTGAGAAGATCAACGAGAAATATGAAGATAAGAGAATCAAGTATGAAGAATTGTATCAAGATGTATAAAAAGAAGAATGAGTGATAAGATCCAAAGCTAAATAATATACTCCATAATAGATGAATGTAATACATTGAAATAATAGATCGAATTATTTATTTATAGTGATACTTTCATATGTTATTTTTGTTTCTCAGTGATACTTTCATATGTTGTTTTTGTTTCTTTTTGTTGCATGTATGTGTTTCTTTTTATTGCATCATGTTTCTTTTTGTGGCATCATGTTTCTTTTTGTTGCATCATGTTTCTTTTTGTTGCATCATGTTTCTTTTTTTGCATCATGTTTCATTTTGTGGTATCGCGTTGTTTATTGTTATTTAGAATTAGGTTTCTATTTATATGTGCTACATACTTATTTGGAATACAAAATCTATGTATAGATATGTATATGAAAACACCTTTAGTAATAAATGTGGCTTAATGAATATTAGCAACAAGAAACATGGAGAAACAACAAGAAACAAAAATTATAAAGTTATTAATAAAAAGAAACAAAAAACAAACAAAATTTACTAAGTTATCAACAAAAAGAAACAAAAAGCAACAACATGATGATAATATTAATTGATTTTTTTGCCTTTTAAAAAAATATTAAATAAAAAATTCAGATTTTATTTTCAATTTCAATTTATGTATGTATATATGTGTGTGTGTAGTATTTTGATTTTTAAAAGATTTGTTTTTAGAGTTTTTTAAAACTTTACATGCTTTAAAAGTTTTACAGAAAAGTTGTTATGCTTTTAGAATTTTACAAGTTATATTTTCTGTTTTTAGTTTAAAGTATAAAATACTGTTTGAAAATTCATGTGTTATCAAATATATATATTTAATTTATATATTTTACTATATATATATATATATATATATATGGTGTGTGTATTATTCACATTTTTTAGTGTTCATACAAATTTTCATGTTTTAAAGTATATATTTAATTTTGTACATAAATTAAATATATATTATTTTCAACATAGATATATTTTTTCAATCATTTATCATGTTTCTGTTTTATACATTATTTCTGAGTTTATAATGTTTTTTAGTTTTAGTCTTTTTAGGTTTTTAAAATATTTCAATTTTTTATATTTTTAGTAATTTCAAAAAAAAGTTTCATCTAAGTATCGTAGTTTTATATGTCAAATATTTAATAGGTATAATCATTTTTGAAATTTATAATTTTACTCTTTTTTCATTTTGATGTTAGAAATTGTATAATTTCTTTCTTTTTGGATTTTTTTTTATTACTTTGTTCGATGTTTTAGAGTTTTAATAAACTTTTACAATTTTCCATTTGAAACAAACTTGAATTAATTCTTGCACTTTGGATTAGTTTATCAAAGAGGGGTAATTATGTTGTTTTAGAAGTTGGGCGCGACGGGTTACGTGTATTTATAAGATAAAGAAGTTCCTGACCTTCGGTAGGTGTGACTCATGCGAGTGTGTCTATTTTTGAAAAGTAATGTCCGTGAAGTCTATTTTTGAAATACACCTTAAAAATTGAAAAAGGTGATACTACCTCCGTCCTTTAAAACTTTTGCCAAAATTGACCGGCACGTAGAATAATAAAGTATAAACTATGTGGTTGAGCTCTGTAAAGGAGAGAGAGAAATAAAAAAAAAAACCATAAAATAATTGATTAAAAGAGAAAATGACAAAATTTTTTGGGACGTCCCAAAAAGAAAAGATTTGATAATGTTTTAAGGGACTCTAGTATTATTTTAATGCTTGTGAAGTTTTCCCTTACTTTTTCTGTAGTAGATTTGGTAATGTCATCATCTAACCAGAAGGTCGTCCACAAAGTTTGAGAAGGTTATGGAAAAACATTTTAATTCTTTTGAGAAGGATTGAGAGAGTTTAAGGAAGTTTATTTAATACGATAGTAATTCTTTAAAAATCAAACTGTATAGTTAGTTAGCACCCGGCCGTGGTCAATCCAGAAACCGTTACCAAGTGAAAAGAAGCAGGAAATGGCGCCAAAGAAGAAGGCATCTCCATCTCCGGACGAATGTTCACCGGAATGGTCGTCTTGCTAATAGGAGGCGGTGTTCAAACTCGTCGACTACAGGTCTTCCGTTTTGTCATCAGCAAATTTCCTCCAAAGTTCCAAACGTTTGCGAACTTAATTTTGTTTAGTGCATTCAATTCAGATATGGAAGCAGAAATTGATGCAGATGGGAGCAAGTATTGAAAACCATTTTTCCAGAAAGGTCACGCATGTTTTCGCCGTGGACTCGGATTTACTACTCAAAGAAGTTGATCGGGAGCGGTTAATTCGTTCCAAAACTGTGAGCTTCGCCTTCCCATACTTCTCTTTGTAAATTATTCTACTATAGTTGTACACTTATTCCGCGGCTGTATCCATTTAAGTTCTCATTCTTTTCGTGACTTGTTTCTTCAGTGTTTTGAAACCAAAATTTGAATTGCCATACCGTCAACTTCATGAGCTTCTATTGAGCGGTGGGTCATGCAAATATGAAAAGCAACCCTCTTTCTGTGCTCCACTGGTGACAAGCTGTTAGCTTTTTAGGAAGATCATGAATCAGCCAAACACTGTGCAATTTCATACAACCAAGATCTTATTTTTATCCTTTCCGGTGTCCCATAAAAAAGATCTTATTATTATTCTCAGCGAAGAAATTAAAAGTAACAAAAAGTTATTATAATAACTTTAGTTGAGCCAACAAAAAAATCAAGTAAATATTATTATGATTATATATGACACTTGTACCACAGCCAAAATTAAAAGGATGTATGTTGATCAAATAAGACTTTTTTGGGGGAGGGACCTAGTCTTATATACTCCGTAGTGGTTATTAGTGGGTATTTATCATTTAGTGTTTTGGTTGATAAGTGTTTTTGTTCTCTTCTTCTTGATAGTGTTTTTGGAGTTCAGTGTGCAACTTGTTACTCAAGCCCGACTATCTTGTCTCACTTTTTTTATAGTTTGCTCTTCTTGACTTACAAAAGGCCAACTATTGCAACTTTGTGAGTTTGCAATAGATTTCCTTTTCCTACTACTTGTTTTGTCATTTGATGTAATAATTTATTGATTTCGGTCTTTGGTGTTGATGGATAGTATACCCGGTGGTAGCTTATCCGACGGGTTATTGCGGAGAGTAACTAGAGAGAAGTCAGAGCAAGTGAGCAAGAGAGAGAGAGTGTATATTCGATATGTATTGAGCGTGGTCTACAATGGGGGAAATGGAGTGCTATTTATAGTAGTAATAAATGCCGGACAGGGACACGTGTCAAGCATCCAATGGCCGAGGGGTCACATCAACTGGTTGGCGTTGGCAGCCGCATGTGGCCGCATTTAATGCGGCTGTTGGATGTGACATCGTACTTGGTACAGTGATTCAGACGCATGTGAAGGGGATATTGTGTCGAGAAAGGTGCCCTCGGCTGCAGATGATGACCCGAGGGCTCTGAGTACCGGGGGGGCCCTTAGTGCCGAGGGCTCTGGGTATCGAGGGCTACTGATTTTCGCCGTTTTCTCCCAGCAACTTTGTTCGCTTGAGTTGGCCATCCTGTGAGAATCTGGAGCCTTCGGCCAGGGGGCCGAAGGCACTCCCAGTGTGCTACGTGGGTTGCTCAGTTCTTGGGCGCTGTGTTTTGGGCCTGCTGTGCTCCCTGGACCTATTGGGCCGTCATCAGAATAGTAGGAGTCTATGGGCCGGGGGTTCCTGGGCCATATACTCCATCAGGAGTCCCTCACTCCTTTTGGCGAAAGGTACTTGAGGGAAAAGGAGTAATCTGCATTTGTCCTTTGGTGTCGTTCCGTTGTAGTTTGTAAAGTTTGTGAGTAGTTTGTTGTGTGCATGTTTCAGCCGAGGGCAGTCCCTCAGTTACCCACATTCCGGGACTTGAGGGATCATGCTCGTTTGTTGTGGGAGTTTTTGACATTTTTTGTATTTTGAGATTTTCTCGAAGGGGTCCTCCAGTCCCCCACTCCTTGAGGCACTTGCAAAGTGGTGAAAAGGAGTGGTGTAGTGCCTGCCTGCAATATAAAGCCGAAGGGTGACGCTTTTCGTTTCATTTTCTCCCGGCAACTTTGTTCGCTTGAGTTGGCTGTCCTGTGAGAATCTGGAGCCTTCGGCCAGGGGGCCGAAGGCACTCCCAGTGTGCTATGTGGATTGCTCAGTTTTTGGGCGCTGTGTTTTGAGCCTGCTGTGCTCCCTAGGCCTATTGGGCCGTCATCAGAATAGTAGGAGTCTATGGGCCTGGGGTTCCTGGGCCATATACTCCATCAGGTGTGTCATCTAATAACTTTAATAAAGTTTGTAATCTGTGGTTCTCATCTACTTAGTCAGCATGAATGCTATGTCAAAGGATCCAGTTTATAGCTTTCTAAGATTAGTAAAAATAACTACATGCATATTAACCTCCTCATCTCGCAGCTCAAATTTAAATGGTATACTGCCCATTGATGTGTGGCAGTACAATTCAGTATGTTCCCCTGGTGTGATTTTCTTTTAAATTTCTGTCAACCCTAATCCAATCCTAAATTTATCATGGCATCAAAGTCAACTTATTTGTCTTATTTTTTTTTCCTATTATGACGTGACATTCAGAAAGTACTACAATACCAGTGGATAGAGAGCAGTTTGAGAGAGGGAAAAGCAATGCCTGAGGATCTATATGTCATAACTATTGAATCTGGAGGAGGGAATATGCAGAACTTTTCTGCAGAAAATAGAAGCTACTGTGATGAGCAGACCTCTAAGAAGAGCAGAGTCTCTTCAGATGGTGTAAATGTTGCAAGCCTAGATCACATGACGGTCACTGAACACTACAGTGGCAGTTCATGCGACTCGGATATCGCATCAAATGTTTTAGGCCCAGAAGTTTCCTGTGAAGTTTTCCTTAATCATCATGATAAGGTTGTACACAATCTGCTCTCTCTTAGATACTTTATTGAATCCACAATTCTTACTAACTTCCCATAGCATGTATGGAGTAATTTTTAACACACAAACATGCCCAAACTTCTCTCTGCAAACATGGTCTAATTATCTTTATCCTTTTTTGTTATGGACTTTTTCTATTTTGGATTTGCATATTTACAACTTTTATTTATTGAACAGGACTTCCTTTCAGATTCATCATTACTTTATAAACCTCCCGACTTAAACAAGAATGTCACTGAGATATTTGGAAAGCTCATCAACATTTATAGGGGTACGTTTTGCCTCTTTTAATAACTTTCTAGCGCCTGTACAACTTTGTTTTAATATGATATGAGCTTTTTTAGAGCCTTATATAAAGTTCCATGATCTTCATTAATAGCACTTGGTGATGAGAGAAGGTCATTTAGCTATTACAAAGCCATCCTGGTTATTGAGAAACTGCCTTCCAAAATTGAGAATCTGGACCAGGTGAAACACCTTCCTAGCATTGGAAAGTCAATGCAGGATCATGTAAGTGAAAAGCTATTTCCTGTGTTAGTATATATTATTGTGATAGGTGTTCTATATTTATTTCATCTTATGCCATTTAGTGATTTTATTAAGAATTTATGATCGCTAATGCATGTCGATGGTTATTTATCATTGAATTATATTTTTTGGAATGGCGTGTCAATTATTGAGTTTTAGGGCATTTTGTGGGAATATATCTGCCTTCACTATGCAATGAAGAGAACAGATATTCTTGTTGCAGATTCTGGAGATAGTGAACACCAGGAAGCTATCCAAGCTGGAGCATTTTGAGAAGGATGAAAAGGTTCCTTTCATTCATATTTTTTCCTTTAATTTTGTAAACAAATGTATTGGTAGATGAAGTTAGTAAGTCTTTGTATTGTGCATCAGTCATTATATCATGTTACAGTCCCACTTCAGAATATTAAAAAGTGATTGATCAGTTTAGGAACCTTGAGTTGAACAGGCTAATCGGTCCAACACAATCTTGTTGTGGTTTAACCAAAGTATTTTGTCACCCAGTTTAGCGACCCCACCTAATTCTATATCACATTAGTTGTCCGTTTCCATTTTATTTGTAACGAGCTCTATCTTGTGTCATTTTCTGAAAGTTAGAATTATAGGCCACCTTCAAACTCATATGGTTATACCAGAACTGATGTTGCTAGAATTTCCCCAGGTTCGCACAATCACTCTATTTGGAGAAGTATGGGGCATTGGTCCAGCCACTGCACTAAAACTTTATGAAAAGGGGAACCGAACTCTAGATGACCTAAAAAATGAGGAATCCTTGACAAATGCCCAAAGATTAGGTTTAAAATACTTTCATGACATCAAAGTGAGGATCCCACGGCATGAGGTTAGTTTCTCGTGAACTTTCAACATATTCGTTGATAACTTGAAACATTTTTATACAGTGGTCTGATTGGAGTAGGTTGAAGAGATGGAGCAACTTTTGAAGAAGGCTGGAGAAGAGATTTTGCCTGGGGTACGAATTCTATCCAAATGGTTGGGTTCTTATATAACTACATAATGCTACCGCTTTAGAAACATTATTTGCTAGAATCTTGCTGAGGACCATATATGTGCTCTCATCCCTCGTTAGTAATTAACCCCATCAGGTAATGGTTTTGTGTGCTGGATCATATAGACGTGGAAAGGCATCCTGTGGGGATATGGATATAGTAATTACTCACCCTGATGGAAAAAGGTAAAATAAGAAATGCTTATCTGCACTCAATCTCTCATGAGCATAGCCTTTTTGAATCTCATGCTGTAATCTGTACATCTTGACAAGATTACGAATGGCATGGAGCTAATTACTATAGTCATGTTATACAATGTCTTTGAACAGTATGTGGTTTTTAAACAGTTACACATTTTCTGTAGAGCAAATCTAAATGCACCACAATGACAAATGCTCATGTTTTTTAATGGAATGATTTCCGTCCAGGGCTGATATTGTTTGTTTGTAGCATTTGGCTACAAACAAAATTTAGTTCAAAACAGCTAATTTGGTTAAGACTTCAGTCATGGCTTCAAATTCAAGCATATTTCTTACTTGAAATTTATATTTGTTCAGCCATATAAGCTTTCTTCTGAAGTATGTAAAGCGCTTGAAAGAAATGAGCTTTTTGAGGGAAGATTTGGTCTTCAGTGTTCACAGTGAAGAGGTAATATTTACTTTATATTTTTTATATTTCTTCCTGTTGTAAGTTAACCAAGTAACATGTCACTGATAATATTGCTGTGTGTATCACAATATAGTAGCACACTCTTTTTGTTTAGTAAAGAAGTGAAAGTATCTACATTTTATCTGACAGTGTACATTTGAAAACAGGGTTTAGATTCAGGAGTGGACACATATTTTGGTCTTTGCACCTACCCTGGTCGAGAACTGCGACATCGCATTGACATCAAGGTAAGTTCATGAACTCTTCTTTTATCAGATTGAATGAATGGTAGCTGCGCACTATACTACCATTGTCTAGGTCTATTACCCACATGCTCTTGAAATCCTACTAATACATAGTCTCAAGCAATGTCATTCCACATCACTGCTTTTCATATTATCAGTAGTCACATCTTGGGATATGTCCTGAGAATTGGGACCAAATGAACTATCAATAAGCTTTAAATATTAGGGTTCCTTTGTGTATGAGTTGGTCAGTCACTCAGTTGTATGTGAGTCAATAACTCAATATGCAAGATTTGGGAATTTGAGTCTCTCTATGCAGGGACTAAGATTCCTCCATGGGGTCAACAGTTCTGTCAGTCCCTTATCCCATTCTAAGTGAGGGTTCCTTTGGTCAAATATGTTTCTTTTTCCAGATTTGGTTTTGTCTGTCTAATCTTGTCTATGGCCTACCTAATTCTTCCTAGGAATGAATCCCACCTATATGTAATCCCTAATCTATGGCCCACTGTGTCAGTTTAGTGTGGCTTCCGCCTAGATGGTCGAGGGACTCCAGGCTTTTATGGAATCAAGGCATCTTCCACTTTGCAAGCTAAAAGAGCTATCCTAGGATGTCATATTCCTAGATGCCTAGTGTGAATGTTTTGTCAAATGTATATCATATCCAAGAGAAATATATGCATTTGGACTGATAGCTTGGACCGGGAACGATGTGTTGAACAGGAGGTATGTCCACTTCATATCATGTGGATCTTCATGTCATGGTGAAATTAGTGATCGACTACACAAACCACCAATGAAGAGCATTGCAGCTTATAATCAGGGAAGATCTGAATGGGGCTGATGGGGCCGGCCCCCTTCTCAGCACTGATCTTGTTCAATATACTATATGCGTTAGCATTCATTTGTGTAACTTTAGGATAAAAAATGATCTTAAATATGGTGAACTTCGGTCAAACTGTTAAATATATCCAATCATTATCTTTACTCTTCTGTCTCATATACACATTTTCCCACATTAGACACATGCAACATGGTTCAGCTAAGTTGGTATCCCGACGTCATGTCTTTTAGTGACATGGTTAGGCTGATGCAACTAATATATCATTATTTAGCTAACGTTGAAATATTTAGTTACCCGGATATGCTTATTTGACTATGCAGACATGACCATTCACATCTGACTGTGGTGAGCATGCTTTGTTTACGTTGGCCCACTATAGTAATACTCCCTCTGTCCCTTATAACTTTGTCAACTTTCCTTTTTCGGATGTCCCATTAACTTTGGCACTTTCCTTTTTAAGTAAAGAATTTGTGGTTTCTGTTAATTCTCTCTCCTCTGCACAAACCTCAACCACACAGTTTTTACTTTATTAATCCCCGTGCCGGTCAAACTTGGCAAAGTTATTAGGGACGGAGGGAGTAATAGGTAGGCCTATAGACAATTCCACATCAACATGCCAAATCAGCTGCGACATGTGTCATATGGAGATATTTTATAAGCAAAAGCATAAAAATAACAAACTATACTAATAAAAGTTAAGGATGTGGATATATATAAAAATTTGGCCAATTTTGTGTTATATGAGATCATTTTTTTATGATACTAATACTCTGCGAGAATTAGAAATAGCGCCCCTCAGTCATTTTTTATGACATGTCTTCAGTTCTTGAATCAGAAACACACAAAATTTTGTGGAATCTCTCGAACCATCACTCATTTGTTGCACCGCTCATGCAGGCTTAGATTATTGGCAGAATCGAAGGGGTTTCGACTGGATGATACAGGGTTGTTTCTGGCTGCTACTCAGAGTTCCCTAGGGAAGCGGGTATGGTTGCTTGTTTACCATCTACTGGTCGGCATCTGTATATATTTTCTCAGATTCTGTTAACCCATTACTCATGCATGCTTGTTTTATATATGCAGGGGGGGATGAAAGGAGCAATCTTGAAGTTCGAGATGGAAAAAGAAGTATTTGATTTCCTTGGGTTTCCCTGGCTTGAACCTCACGAGAGGAACTTGTGAGGTTCAATATGTGAGAACGAACCATTAGCATGGGAAAAGCTCTGTCTAGCTCACCAGACCAGTCGCTTGCTGGCCCCTTAAGGTAGATGTACATGTACTTGTCAAAACTCTCTGAGTCAATGATGAGATCATTTTCGTCACCCCTTCGCTTTAATTTTAAAATAGATCTGATTTCAAAAATATCTATAACTTTAATGCATGGCAGAGTAATAAAATTGATGGTCCTTAGGGACAGGGTAGTAAGAATCTAGAGAGAGAAAGTATAAACTTGAGTAATAAAATGGCAGAGTAACGGTATGTTATAAATCAAATTGTAACGGATCTCTTTACACAAGCCGGAAGGTGGTTTCTTTTAGTGTACATTATCTTATGCTTGATGAACAAGTAAAATAGCTAGTCTGATAAAAATAAGCCACGTGTAGGGCTGAGCACGGATCTGGGAATTCCTCTTCCGTACCGAAGAATCGTCCCGAACCGTTCCAGAACCGATAGAACCGGAAATATTTAATACCGTACCGTACCGTACCGAGCTTTTTTAATAATATGGTACGCTACCGGTTCTTAGTGAAAACCGTACCGGAACCCTCCCGGAACCAGACCGAACCGGACCGTCTCGTACCGTCCCGAATTGTCCCGAAAACTAGTGTTACAATATAATAATATATTATATATAATATAATAATATGTATAATATATTATATACTGAGTATAATTGTCCGTATATTACTCTTACATCTTCTTTGGGCCCAAGATGCTGAAGTTGTTGAGGCCCTGATGCCAAGGCTTAATATTGATTGTTGACAGAAATCGCCCCGAGGTCCTGATGGCTTATGCCATTGTCTAGAATTCTGGCAGATTTAGTCTAGCTCAAATATGGACTATTAAGTTGATTATTTTTGTCATTTGATGTGATACTTTTTGGTTTTTCAGTTTGACGATCACTTTTGCATTTTAGTTTGGATGTTACTTTTTTTTAATATAGTTTGACTATTAGTTTCATATTTCAATTTGATCACACAATATCAGTTTAATATAATCTTGCAAGTTCTTCTCTTCAATTTTTGTAGAGTTATTTATAAATGTTAAAATCTCAAGTTTTTTATATTTCATGGGGATTATTTAGTTATTTAAGAACCGTACCGAACCGTACCGGACCGTAGCGAAAATTGGTACGAAACGGGACAGGTTCTACATATACGCGGGACGGTACCTCTTCTTGATTTTTAAAAGAACCGTACTTTGGGACGGGACAGGTTTTTCGAAATAACCGTCACGTACCGTCCCATGCTCACCCCTAGCCACGTGTATAGCTAATTGGTGAGAGAATCGTTGATTGATTGTGTGTGTAAGGATGACTGCTCTTTCGTAAGGGGATGTCTGGATGGCCACGTGTATAGCTAATTGCTCTTTCGTAACTGGTTTGATGACGTCAGTCATGGAGTTAATTAGTTATTCCCCGATACATTATCGTTAATCTGTCTGAAGTGTTTATGTCGAAAATGTCTAAGTACAGACATGTGTGTAGTGTGCTCAGCTCAAATGTATCGATGTTCAGCTCAGGGATGATGAAGCTCAGCTCATGTAAATGCCTAGCTCAAGCATGACAAAGCTCGGCTCAGGTATAAAAAAGCTCAAGTCAGGTAAAGCTCAGCTAAGGTCTAACGAGCTCGCCATCGGCCGCAGTTTTGGAGTTGCCTTGCTCATCCGGGAACTTGGTGGCAAGCTCGACCTCAGGTGCAGTTCTGGAACTCTTTAGTCGATTTGAGAGCCGGACTCGACCTCGGCCTTGGTTTTGGTTGCGAGCTCGGCCTCGGTTGCAGTTCTTGATTCTTTCACACCTTGCCCTCGACTTGACTGGTGTGCTCGGCTTTGGTCGGTTGATGTTGCCTTAGTCAATTACGAATTTTCTTTGATGTATTGTTGTGACTCTTGGGTGTATGGGAGTATACTCCGTCAAAAACATATGCCCTAAATTTAATGCCACCATACAACGAAGTAAAGTAAAGCATAATGATGAGCCAAGAAACCTCATATTATTATTATTACTACTACTAGGTAGATTTCCCTAAATATGACTAAATAAAAGAAAAATTGCACCAATAGGAACTTAAAATTTAAATTTTCAAAATACGACTAACTCTTCCTGTTTTCTATTTTATTTTATTTTTTGTTTTCTCATTTTTATTATTAATTTATAAATATTTGTATTATTTTTTTATATTTTTATTATAAATAAAAATATGATTTTCTTATTAATAAACTAAATCTATTAGAAATTATATGAAGGGGTAGAATAGGAAGAAGAGAAATGTATTATCCTCTGTTCTAAAAATCGTTCTAGGCGTCCGACTAGTCCCCGCCTAGGCGCTAGGCGGTGGCCGAGCGTCCCGATTTTCGTCTAGGCGTTCCGACTAATTAGTTAGCCGTCAAGGTGAATTAGTCAGCCACCTATGGCGCCTAGTTGCCCGCCTAGAGCGCCTAATCGTCCGCCTAGACTGTCTAGATTCGTCGAACATTACTTTACTTTTTAATTTTAATTTTCTAAGCGTTATACGTACTTTAACTTTAGCAATGGATATATAGAAATGAAGTTGTAAATTAAAATAAACCTATATATGTTTTTATATATACCTAGATTTTATCATTATTTATATTTATAACATAACGAAGTTAACTTATTAGTTATTATATACCATGTATGATTAAAGGTGATAATTCTATCATTCATGTTTGTTAATGTATATGTATATACGTATTTTATACACACAAAATTACAATATTACTTATCATATTTATGAAAGATATAGATAAAATATAATTTCTATGTTGTCAAATAGTCCCCGACTAGGCGCCCGCCTAGCCGCCTAGGCGCTAGGTGCTGGGCTAGCGCCCGACTAGCGCCTAGAACATTGGTATTACCCTAGTCTTATTTTTGCATTTAGGACTACTTTTAGTCCTACTTAGGGCTAATTAGCATTTATTTTCTATTGCAGGCAACTTCCTAAATATTGAGACGTAGGGAGTATATGAAATAGGATAGTACTTATTTAGCATATCAATTTCTAGAGAAAGTGAATACTAAATCTACATATTAAATAAGTAGATATGAAAAGTTGACTTAGTATATCAAGATAATTTACTAGTCAAATGATATGCTAAATAAGTAGATAAGATAGAAATATATGTGAGAATAATGGAACAGGATGCTCTCTAAGGAGCCCTGGCAGATATATTTATAATAAAAGAGTTTAATGTAAAGTACAATACTAATGGTTTAATAATTTTATTACACCCTCCCTCAAGCTGTGCGGGAGAAACAACGCGCAGGTTGTCTTTCAAAAAATGAAAACGCTGAGTAGGTAGACTCTTAGTAAAAATATCTGTCAACTGTAGATGTGTAGGAACATGTTTAACGATCAGATCTCCATGAGCAACACGTTCGCGAACAAAATGATAATCAATCTGAATATGCTTACTCCGAGCATGCTGAATAAGATTTGCAGTCAAATAGGAAGCTGAAATATTATCACATAAGAGATGCACAGGTGCCGTGATGGGGTAGCCGAGCTCAAAGAGAACAGATCTGATGTGGAGGGTATCCTGAACGGTGTATGCAATAGCACGATACTCTGCCTCTGTGGATGACTTTGAGACGGTGGGCTGTTTCTTGGATTTCCAAGATATTAAATTGGGAACCAAGAAGACAGCAAAGCCAGTTGTGGATCGTGAGCTATCAGGACAACCAGCCCAGTCCGCATCAGAATAAGCAACAACGCATGTGGGTCGAGTAGAACGTTGTAGCCACAATCCATGATCACGTGTCCCCTGCAAGTACCTGAAAATTCTTTTGACTGCAAGTAGATGAGTAGTACGGGGTGCATGCATGAACTGAGAAACTAAGTGTACTGCATAAGTAATATCTGACCTTGTCAAAGTTAAATATTGTAATGCACCGACCATGCTGCGATACTCAGTAAAGTCCGCAAGTAACTCGTCATCAGAAAGGGACAAAGTAGTACGAGAAGCTAATGGTGCGCGAACGGGTTTAACCGTATGGAGATGAAAACGCGTGATAAGATCGGAGACATATTTGTGTTGAGATAGAAACAAACCTTTAGGAGAACGAAGTGCCTCAAGACCCAAGAAATAATGGAGATTACCCAAATCCTTCATGGCAAAGTGAGTAGAAATAACAGATATAAACTGGGTAATGGTAGACTCAGAATTGCCAGTAATAATAATATCATCTACATATAATAATAAATAAATGATAGAATTATTATGACGAAAAATAAATAATGAATTGTCAGATTTACTACAGGTAAAATTATGTTGTAGCAAAAAGCTACTAAACCGATGAAACCAAGCCCGTGGTGCTTGCTTAAGACTATAAATAGCCTTACGCAAACGACATATATGATTAGGAAATTGAGGATGAACAAAACCACGTGGCTGACGCATATAGACTTCTTCTGTCAGGTGACCATGTAAAAAGACATTTTTAACATCAAGCTGACGAATAACCCAACCAAAGGATACAGCTAGTGAGTACAATACGAACAGTGGTGGGTTTAATGACAGAACTAAAAGTTTCAGAAAAATCAATACCAGCCTGTTGATTAAACCCTTGAGCAACTAATCTAGCTTTATGGCGCTCCACAGAGCCATCAGAATGATATTTGATTTTATAAATCCACTTACAACCAACAATATTCTTAGTATTGTTAAAGGGCACCAGATCCCAAGTATTATTATTAATGAGTGCATTAAATTCCTCATCCATTGCTTCTCGCCATTTTAAATGTTTATTAGCCTCAGTAAAATAGGTGGGATCTGCAGAAATAACAACTGTACTTAAATTAAAAATGGTTTTAGGTTTAAAAATACCGGCCTTGGCGCGGGTCTGCATTGGGTGTTGATTAGAGACAGTTGTGGGCTCAATGGAAGTGGGTGGAGGGGAGACGGGATCAGGCTGAGAATTATCTTGGTGGGCAGACGGAGTGGGAGGGGAAGAGCTAGCGGCAGACTCTAAACGGAAAGATGTGGTGGAGGCCTTCCTGGATAGTGAATTGCAGGTGGTCGAGCGGGAGGAGGGTGACGGAGAGGAGCTGGTCGAAGTAGAATTCGTACTGGTAGGTTGTAAAGGGGAAGAAGAATGGTCGAGATGGGGTTCGGCCGCCACAGAGAGCATGCGGGTGGGTGGTGTTGGAGTCGTGTAGCTGGTAAGGGACATGCTAAAGGGTGGTTGGGTTGGTGGAAGGGATGTCCTAGGTGGTGGAAGTGTTTTAAAGGGATAAGTATCCTCGTGAAACCTAAGACTGACATAGACACGACTGGTAGTAGGATCAAGACAGCGATAGCTCTTATAGCCAGATGCATAGCCAAGAAAAACACATTGGACAGACCTAGGAGAGAGTTTGTTAGCCAAAGTGGCCGAAAAGTTTGGATAGCATGCACAACCAAAAACACGCATAAAGGAGTAGTCAGGGTGAAGGTGAAAAAGTTTTTGATATGGAGAGATACCCTTTAGTGTAGGCGATGGTAATCTATTAATGATATATGCAGCAGTGAAAATAGCATCAACCCAATATTGACTAGGAATAGATGCTTCAAGAAGCATAGTCCTAGTTAATTCAAGAAGATGACGGTGTTTTCTTTCCGCAACCCCATTTTGTTGAGGTGTGTCAGGACAAGATTTTTGAAAATAAATACCATTATCGGAAAAAAATTGCTGCATATTGTGATTAACAAATTTACCACCTCCATCACTTTGAAAATTTTTAATTTTCTGATTAAAAAGATTTTCAACCAAAGCTTTAAAATGTTTAAAATGCATAGTAACTTCACTTTTGTGAGCCATGGGATATAGCCAAGTAAATCGGGAAAAATCATCAATAAAACAAACATAATATTTAAATCCCAAATTAGAGCGAACTGGAGATTGCCATACATCAGAATGAATCAGTTGTAAAGGAAGAGAAGAATTATGACAAGCATTCCTAAAGGGCAAACGTTGTGATTTTCCTAACCGACACGCGACACATTAATGAGTAAAAGGAGTATGACTACATAAAAATTGTTTTCATTTAAGGAATTGTAAAATAGAATCACCACAATGACCTAATCTACGGTGCCACACAGGGCCAGAAACAAGAACAGATGCTAATGCTACGGATGGAGAATCTGTCAGACGGAGAGGATATAGTGGTCCACTACTGGTAGCTTGCAGAAGCACCGTCCTCGAGGTCTTGTATTTAATCAAAAAGGAATTTTTATCAAAAATGACAGTACAATTATTATCTGCGCATAGCCGCTTAATAGAAATTAAATTATATTTTAACTGAGGCACATGATAAACAGATTTTAATGTGAGAGAACGGCCAGAAGACGGTAAAGCAACATCACCAACATGACAGATGAGTAAATGGACACACCATTAGCAACACTTTTTTGGCAAACAAATCTACAACAAACAGTGTCAAATAGTGCAAAACAGTGTCAAACAGTGTACTCTACAGTAAAGTCAAATTTATTTCCTTAATATGTGTGAAGTCAAAGTGTAAACTTCGAGTATGAAATATGAGTTAGAATTTCAGAAATACTGAATATAAGAGGAAAAATAAACATAATGAGTAAAATTTAAAACTTCTCTCAATAGGAGTGAACATTAATTTTCTACCCTTAATAGTTAATACTCCTAATTAATTAATTATTTGCTCCCCTAATTCCCTTGGGCAACCAGGGCAGACCGTTGGTGGCAGGGCACACCGGCGACAATGGTGGCAGCCAGCTGCCGGGGGCGGTGCCCGGAGGACGCTGGCCAGGGCTGACGACCGGAGTCTGGTGACAGTGGCTGGTGATGGTGGTTGGAGGCCGGCAGCAGTGGCTGCAGGGCTTGGGAAGGTGGCTGGGAGCTGGGGCTTCGGTAGTGGTATATTTGTCAAAACTCTAAGATTACTCCTATTCAAAAAGTGGTACTCCTATTTTGCATTTTGCCTATGTTTTGCTTCTATTTGGGGAATTCACACTTAGAATTTTGATATGTTTTTTATTAAAATTGGAAAAGTTAGAACACTTAAGAAAAGACATTCCCCCATGTCTCGCAGGTAAGACTTGTCCCGCCGCCTTTACGTTTTTGCTATTTCTTCCGTCATTAATGTCCCGAATGCAATGAATCAACATTAGCAGTCCAAGTGTCCATTTAAGACGCTTTGGATTCCTAATTCCTTTAGCACTATAAGTCTATAAGTGGTCGGATTACCATTTGTGTTGGCCATGCTTGAATTTATAGCAAAAATGCAAGTAATATACACACACACACACATACTAGTATATATATATATATATATATATACTAAACTAAAATTAATCAAACAATATTAATAATGTGATTTGATATTTGTGAAACATGAAACTAAATTGTAGTGCAAGTTTGCCCCCACAAACTAAGTGGTAGTACTTGTACAAAACATGCATCGGTAGACACACAGACATACATATATTGAACAAGCTAAGTTAGACATCTAAATCTACCATACGTAGTTTTTTGGTACGTATACTCAGCTTTTTGGCAGGATCGCATGCATATGAAGTAGCTAGCTTATTGAATTAGCTGCGCTTGGTTAAACGCACGTATGTACTATTTATACAGTTAATGAATGCAGGGCGGGGATGATGGATGGATCATTTGCTGTTAGAAAGTATAGTTGATGAGGTGAGGCGGGGCGTGGCAAGAACAATCAAGGGGTGAGCCATAGGCATAGTCATTCCATAAACCTCTGTTGTTTCGATATCTTTTCCATGCAGTGGGCTCCAATTGAAGCAGTGGAACAGCCTGGCTAGAGCCATGAGGACCAGCGTCACCCCTAGGGGTGCACCCGGGCACCTCCTCTTCCCCGCGCTGAACGGCAGGATCTTGAAGTCTGCCCCGTGGCTTATCTCCACTCTCCCCACCGCCAGATGCCTCTCTGGCCTGAACTCATCCACGTCGCCGCCCCACACTGCAGGGTTTCGCCCCAGGCCGTGAGTGTTGATGAAGACACGCGTCCCGGCGGGGATGTGGTATCCACTGATGGTGGTGGCGCGCGTCGACTCGTGGGGGATCAGAAAGGGTCCGGCCGGGTGGGTCCGGAACGTCTCTCGCACCACGGAACGCAGGTAAGGCAGGTGGGGCAGGTCGCTCTCTGACACCATCCGGTCCTGACCCACCACGCTGTCCAGCTCCTCTTGAATCTTCTTCAGGATGCGCGGCCGCTTTATCACCTCCGCCATCGCCCATTCGTTCGTGACCGCTGATGTATCCGTCGCTGCAGCTATCATATCCTACAACAAATTAAACGCGCACCCACCCATTAATAATGTATGTCATGTGCATGCATGCATGTGTTTTGATTACTTAATTACTTCAATGCATGCAGTGGATGGATGTTAATTAATTAAATTAATTACTTACTTGAATCAGAGCTTTAATTTGGACGTCGTCCATGTGGGGTTTCCCGTTTTGACCAGGCAAGGACAGCAAAACATCAACAAAGTCCATGGGATCAACTCTCTTGTTCTTTCTGTGCTCTTGTAGGATTTTGATGTGGAAAGCATCGATCCTGCGCTCCAGCTCCCGCATTTTCTTTTCGCACCCGTACGGGTCAATCCATCTCCACACTGGGAGATAGTCTCCCAGGTAGATCACGCCCAGCAGATGGAAGAGCTGATGAGTGAGGGACATGAACTCCATGGCTTCACCGCCACTGCAGCTTGCCGACTGTTGCTGCTCGCCAAAGAACTGCTTTCCCAGCAGCATCCTCGTCACATTGTTCATAGAGAAAGCCCCCAGCACCTCCCTCAGATTCACTGTGCCACCTTGGGTCGCGGTCATTCTCCACACCTGCTGCACCAGGTGGCGCGCTTCCTCGGCACGGTGCGCCGCGAAGGACTCCAGCCGCTTCGTCGTCAGCAAGTGCTCCATGCACACCCTCCGCATCCACTTCCAGTCGGGACCCAAGGGGGCAAGTGCGATATCGCCACATCCGTAAGCCAAATGGACGGCTGCCAGCGTTCTCGGCCGGGACGCGAACACCTCGTCTTGTTGCACCAGTATTTCGCGTATGGTGTCGGGATCGTTGGTTGTGATCGCATCCACACACCCCAGCCGTAGGTACACCAACGGCCCATACTTGTCGCAAAAGGAAGCCAAGTCGCGGTGAGGCAGCTGTCCCAGCTGAAGAAGGTTACCGACTATCGGCCACCTTCGTGGCCCCGGAGGAAGCCGCTTCGCATTATTGCTTTTTACTACCAACACCTCCACGACCAGTTTGCATACTAGCAGCAGGGGTAATACAGACGAGAACAACAGAAACAATATTGATGATGATGATGATGAAGCTAGGGTCATATAATCAACCATTTCTACTTAATTCAAAAGTAATATATTTGCTGTTTTATGCATGGCCACGCGGCTCATTGATGGATGGATATGAATATATGATATGATATTAGCTGGGCTGTTATATACGTGCGCAATGCAGATTGCAGATTGTTGGAATGGCTAGCGGCATGCATGATGGATGGAACGCTTTATTAGTTAGCTAGGTAGCTAGGTTGGATCATACTTTAATTACTGTACATGCATCTTGGACTATCCAATTAATTATCTACCATTTGCTTTGTGTGATAAACCTCAACTTTAACGCTAAACCTTAATTTCTCGTCTGCACTTTTAGAGCAATGCTCAATTGTGGATCGGATGCTCATTTTAGAATTCTAATACAGCAAGGGTATTGATTTTTTCCCACAATATGTTACTGTGTAACATCACTTATCACTGAAATTAGCAACAAAAACGGTGGAAATAAGTATTTCATATTATCAGTTCCCATACTACGGATGTTTTACTTGGACTGTTTTATGTTTGATATTAGACCAGATTTAAACAGACTAAACCATCAAACTTAAACAGACCAGACCAAAACAAACTTAAATAGATTAGACTTACCAGACTTAAACGGATCAAACCACCAAATTACCGTCCAAGTAAAAACATCATATGGCTTCATTTTTAATATTAGGAATATGTGTTACGTACGTAGTGCAAAAAAATTGCCATCTTTTAATTTAATTTAAGAATATACAGTGTACAAAACTATGCAATGATTAAACAAAAAGGTAGGGAGTAAAATATATTCAAATACGAAACTCAAACAAAGAGCACTCGAGTTAGGGATGGACTCAGGTCCAGGCCGGGCCGGGCTCATTATATTTTCTTTTTGTTTTCCTCTTCCTAATTAACCCCCCTCCCACCCCAAATGGCCCAAAATACCCAGCCCAACCCGAAAATTTAAAAAAATTGAAAAAAAAATAGTATTTGGCCTGAACCGGGCTCGAGCCCGGCCGGGTCGGGCCTTGTTTTGGGTGACCCGAGCCCGGACCGGAAAACCCACGGGCCGGACCTACCCGGACCGGTCACTGACTGGGCCACCGGGTCGGGTCGGGCCGGGCCGGAACAGTACCGGTCCCGGGCCGGTTCCGGGTCGGGCCACCCGGCCCGAGTCCATCCCTAACTCGAGTACTTGAAGTCTCGCCTTACTCATTTCATCTTACTTCCAAAATACTTTTGAAGAAGCTTCTTAACACAATATCAAATTTCTACAAGAGCTTAAATGAGTTTGAAACGTGCAACAATAAATTTAGTACTAATGTACCCAAGTAAAAACATTAAACGTCTGTTTGTCTCTGTTGATGTTTTCAACACAATCAAGGGTGGGGTCAGACAACAACTTCCACCCGTTCAAATTCAATCAAGGATAAATTATTATCTTTCTGCACAGAAAAACTTGCAGCATCAGTCACTTCAGCACGGCCATAGCGATCCACCACCAGCCTCATAGATCCCTTGTGAATTTCAACTCTTGCATTCGTGAGTACCACAGTTGTACCCTCTTGCATCAAGTCCACTACAACAAGGACAAAAGTGTGAAAACATCATTTTACAATGACATATTGCACAAAACAGATCCCAGGAAAAAAACATGTGGCACAGCAATAAGATAACAAGCCCCAACCATATTCAGTTATTCACTATTGTGTGCCAACCATATTCACTATTGTGTGTGTTCTTTTTTATTCTCACTTTTGTAATATGTTTGGACTTTGGATCACAGAAAATGTGGGAAAAGAGAAGATGCTAGGAAAATATGTTTATTGTTTACATATATTCTTAACTTCTTAGAAGGGGGAGCCTTGACACACCGTTTAAAGTGTTGTTGTGTGACAGAGAGGTCACAAGTTCAAGTCTTGGGAGCGTCCTCTTATCAAAACTTAGCGAGGAATGCTTGCCTCTTATACACCCTCGTGGTAGGACCCTGCCCGGAACCCTCACCTTGCGGGGAATTCTTACTTTGAAGAGAGTGAAGTGGAGGAAAAGTATACGGGTTGGAGGATTGATTTGATTTAGTTTGTCTCCCTTTATCTCTACTTATTATTATTATTATTATTATTATTATTATTATTATTATTATTTTTATTTAGTATTATTATTTATTATTATTTTTAACTCCGATGTCATATGTAAATTCAAGTTAGCTGCTTGCTGACCCCAAACTTTGTTTGGATTAAGGTTTTGATGTTGTTGTATATATGGATTTGGATTTCTTAGTCTTGATAGAATAGACATAAACAAATGAAACTATACTACCTTCATCCCAGGTAAAGGTTCTCATCCACTATTTTGCGGTCAACTTAAATTGTTTTTAATCTTTTACTTTATATATCCAATTTTTATCAAATTTGAGTTTTTTTGCAACTTTATAAAGTTTTTAATGTAGTTTCCGAATATGTAAATTTTATTTAATAAAATAATTTTATTATTGTCAAGGATCGATTAACTTTATGATTAGTCAAACATAGTAAGTAGTAACCAGAACGGGAACCCTTACCCGGGATGGAGGGAGTAGTAAATAGTTATCCAAAACAAGTGTATTGACTTTTATCTCTTTTATTTCCCCTGACATTTTATTTTTTCAAATTTAATGCAATAACTTCCGGTTTCTTTCCCTAGTATTTTCCAGGTTCCAGAAGTACCCTCATGTAATGAGATAAGTCTTGTGCAGCACAAACCTGTGAAATATGTGAATTTGTCATCTTTACATGTGAACCACATGTGCATGATGAAGCTGCAAAAAGAAGTTACTTGGAGGAAGGCAATGGATGATGAAATTGTCATGATAGAGAAAAATAGAACGTGGCACTTGATGGATCTTTTCAGGAGGCAAAGTGGTAAATCAGGTGATCGGTTTAAAATCGGTTTAAAATGAGTATACAAGACAAAGTACAATGAAGATGGAACTATTCAAAAGCTCAAAGCAAGACAAGTTGCCAGCGGCTTCACACAACAATTTGGCGTTGGTTTTAATGAGAAGTTTGCCCCGGTTGCTCCCATTTAGATTGGTGTTGGCTTTGGCAGCTAGAGTTACAAGTATTTCAGCTTGATGTGGAATCAGCTTTTCTTAAAAGAGAGCTAGAAGAAGAAGTATATGTGAAGCAACCACAAGGATATGAAGTAAAGGGAAAGAAGAGAAGATGTACACACTACATGCTTCATAAATCTCCTTTTGGGCTAAAAGCCTAAATTCCCTAAAAGGCTAAAACAACAATCTCCAAGAGCACGAAACAATAAGATCAATAGCTATTTTCGTCAATATGACTTCACAAGAAGGCCAAATGAGCCCTCACACTTTGTGAGACAAATGGGACTTATGAAGTATTTTTTGGGCAGGGCCAGCCATTAGGCTAGTATACCTAAACAAGTGTTTAGAGCCTCCAAATTATAGGAGCTCCAAATTTTTAAAATAAGCTCATTTATATTACTCCGTGTATAGGTATATTAAATTGAAATCGTAATTAGAATCAATGTTTGCCTACACGGTAAATTTCAATTCCTAAATTAGTAAATCATGAAATCAATCCATGAATCAATTAGAGGCTGAGACCACACGGCTAACCAGGTTACTAGTCTACCAGGCTTGAGGGCTTCTTCTACAATCTTCAAGACTTCAGCGTAGTATTTTTTGGGCAGGGCCAGCCATTAGGCTAGTATACCTAAACAAGTGTTTAGAGCCTCCACATTATAGGAGCTTAAATTTTTAAAATAAGCTCATTTATATTACTCCGTATATAGGTATATTAAATTGAAATCGTAATTAGAATCAATGTTTGCCTACACGGTAAATTTCAATTCCTAAATTAGTAAATCATGAAATCAATCGATGAACCATTAGAGGCTAAGACCACACGGCTAACCAGGTTACTAGTCTACCAGGCTTGAGGGCTTCTTCTACAATCTTCAAGACTTCAGCGTAGACCCAGGCGTAGGACGAGAGCAAGCGATTTCAAGCCTTCTGTCTTCAATTAAGGCAAGCAGGCTAACAGACAAATAGGGCAGAAGGGGACTTGCCAACTTTAGCCTTCAGGTAATCAGGTCATCTGTCTTCTTTGGGGTATTGATTTATTCATTTAGGTGTGTAAAAAGTAAACTAAATATAATGTTGTAGCGTTTTTGCTTTTTAGTAATTTGTTTTTTCAATCAAGAATTATTGTTATGTTTTTTCAATATAAGGTGCCTTTTTTTATTTAATTCTGTTTCAGTTTTTCAGTCTAATAGGCTTCTAATCTTTTTGCCTAGCTTATGTGTCATGTACTCGTGATATTATCTTATATGTGGGCACGTGGCTGAGTAATTGTTCTAGGCAGGATCAGAGTTTGCTGAAATGTTTTATTTTGAGAATGGTTTTGCTTATATCAACTCTGTAATAGCCAAAAAAACAGTTGATTATAATAATTACTTTTATTTTATGAATATATTAAAAGTTTGAAAAAATATTTAGTTGGAATGGTAGTGATGTTCATACTAATTTTTCTCTTCAAAAAACAGGAAGCGTAGGTTATTAGAATATTGATATACTTTTTGTTAGTTTAGGATATTTGCATTTAAAGAATTATTCTCTTCAGTCATAATATATGGTGCGTTTTGTATGTAGTTTGTTTCAATTTATTTGATGTCGTATTTTTTTAATGTGCTTTGTTAAACAAAACACATTTAAATGATATGTCAAAATAAAAGTGCCTCAACATTGGTGTAGACGGCACTTTTTCTGGGAATTCAAGTCAAGCAAGCCTAAAGAGAAAGAAGATGAAAAGGTTCCACATGAAGGACTGCAAACCAGCTGTTATACCTACGGCAGTAAATGAGAAGCTGAAGCAAAGATGGTGCAACTAAAGTTTGATGAAAGCGTGTAGCGAAGTCTTGTTGCCTCACTACTGTACCTGACTAATACAAAGCCAGACAACCCAAGCGGTAAGTAATGGTGTCTAGGTTCTTTAACAATCCTAGTAAGCATCATTCTGGAGCAGCAAAATAAATACTTAGATATCTCCAAGGCACCCAGTCACATGGTATCAAGTATGCTAAGGAGGAGGATCATTCGCTATAGTAGGCTCAAGGTTAATAAAATCAGGAGTTAAATCGTAAAATCGTACATC